CATTCTATGAGTTAGTTGTTATTTGTAGTACTTCTGGTCAATTTGACCAAACCGTCAATTCGTTCAAAGATATTATAAAGAAGTCTAAGTTAGTATGTATAAAGGATACTGAGTTGTTAGATTGGATAAAGAAGTACCAAAGAAGAGTTTTGAAGTATAATGCTATAAATGAGTATATAAATTCTAAGTTTAAAGACCCAAATGAGGAAATGCAGAGAATATTAGAGAAGAAACACTTCAGAAACAAACAGAAAGAGATAGAATACATTTCGAAGAAATTGCAATCTTACGATTGGAAGACTTACCCTCATAGATGTCTTCTTATCTTAGATGACTTTGCTTCTCATCCTTTGTTAAAGAACAGAGAACAAGATATGTGTCGAATTCTTAAGAAGCTCAGACACTTTAACATCTCAGTCGTATATGTGTACAGACAGCAAAGAGTTTAAGTAAGGATGTAAAAGAATACTTACTGACATTATACTTTTCCCGGATTGTCCGAAGACGATTTCATGGAACTTATGAAAGAGTCCATGGCAGGTAAGTTTGACAGATATGAACTATGGGAGAAGTATAAAGTCATACAAGACCCTCATACTTCTTTCAGAATTCATATCTACGCAAACAAAGTTCAAATTGTAAAAAGTCAAGCTTGAAAAATCTAAGTGTTTAGTCTTAGTAAGATGGTAGCTTCTTAAAGCATATGCCGTCCTTGAGTTTTAGGTACGTGAAGAGAAGTACAATGAATTCAATTACGAGTACAATTGCAATGACAACTAAGGCAACTATTTTTGTCTTTTGCCAGCAAGGGTACTTCTTCTCTTCCAATGGTTCGGCAGAACTATACTCACTCATGAGAAATGTCAAAACGGTTTAATAGAAAAAGTGTCATTTACCCTACTTGTTTGAAGTTGTCAAAATACTCTGTTATTTTTCACTGTTTTCATAGAGTTTTGGCGACTGGGGTTTTTTACTTACTCGCTGTTCTTCACTGTTTTCGTACGGAATCTCTTCTCTCGGTTTTCCGAGGGAAGCAAGCATATGAGGAAATTCATGAAATTTGGTCATTTTTCAGCAAAAATAATGTTTAGGTGAAGAGGTGAGATCTCACCTGTTTTTTCACCTAATTTTTCACCTCTTTTTTTCACAACCGTTTTACATGGTAAACGTTATTTTTACATTATGACACGAAGTGAAGGTTTGCACTTCGTCAAATTTATAAAAAATTAGCGTTATTTTTACATTATGACACGAAGTGAAGATTTGCACTTCGTCAAATTTATAAAAAATTAGCGTTATTTTTACATTATGACACGAAGTGAAGATTTGCACTTCGTCAAATTTTATAAAAAATTAGCGTTATTTTTACATTATGACACGAAGTGAAGATTTGCAACTTCGTCAAATTTTATAAAAAATTAGCGTTATTTTCTGACTTTCACAAAAGACCAAAATAAACGCTTTACATGTATTTTTCAGCAACTTCGTCAAATAATTTTAATAGCTTTATCTATCTCATCTACTTCAAACGTTTCTTTACCTTTTATGGGAGCACCATACATTTTCTCAAACTTTTCAAGTAGTTCTGTTTCTGCAGCTCTCATATCATTAGCAAACACAACCTTGACTCTATTGACTGTACTGTCATATCTTTGAGTTATATTATAATGTTCTTCCTAATCTTAATAATCTCTTTGTATTGAAGTCCTTCGGTTTCTGAACGATGTAAAGTAAGCCTTCACTGCAACGTTCCGTATCGAATGAACCATATGTTATGAAGTTATATCCAACAACTGGGTCTAACCATAACAAAACTATTGGTATAAGACTTTTGTCGATGAGATATGCTGTAGTTCCATAGAATCTTATCGATATCATAAGCTCAGGATTTCTTGTCAAAATTTTCTGACTAGAAGCATTTCTAACCCAGTCCTTTGTTTTCTTTCCAGATGGAGATATAATGTCTGACAAAGAATATTTGTTGTATTTCTTTGAGTATCTTACGTTTAAAGCACCTATTCTAACCACTTTGGTGTCATTGTCTATCTTTCTAACTGTTTCAAACTCAATGTTTGTCATATATGTTCTTACATACAAAATAAAAAAATAAATAAAAATAAAACTAACTTTATTTTTTCTGTCTTAAGGAAACTCATGAAATTTGTGCTGAATTCAGCAAAAATATATTTTAGGGTAGATGGTTAGATCTCACCTGTTTTCTCACCTGTTTTCTAACATGGTCTAAAACACACAAAACTCATGAAATTTGTGCTGAATTCAGCAAAAATATATTTTAGGGTAGATGGTTAGATCTCACCTGTTTTCTCACCTCTTTTTTTCACAAGCGTTTTACATGAATTGTACGATGTATATTTGAAATCCTAAACAGTTTTGTAGCTTCTATTTCTTCTTTTAGTACATCGAATGTTTTAACAATGCCGAAAGTTTCTTTATATTTCTTCTTGACGTCAGATAGAAGGAAATCTTCTGCTGTTGGATAGTTTTTGTCAAGACTTCATTGTAAATGACCAAAAATAAAGTTTATGTTAGCATGTTAGATCTCACCTGTTTTCTCACCTGTTTTCTAACATGGTCTAAAACACACAAAACTCATGAAATTTCATACGGAATTCAGCAAAAATAAAGTTTATGTTAACATGTTAGATCTAACCTGTTTTCTCACTTGTTTTCTCACATAACTATTTACAAGCGTTTTACATGGTATATGTTGCGATGGTTCATGACTTTAAACAGTTTTGTAGCTTCTATTGCTTCTTTTAGTACATCGAATGTTTTAACTATGCCGAAGGTTTCTTTATATTTCTTCTTGACGTCAGATAGAAGGAAATCTTCTGCTGTTGGATAGTTTTTGTTCAGAAATTCTAACATGTCCATTTTATCTTCTGCTGGTTTTTCTGCTTCTTTCTTTAAGTCTGCATAGTCGTTTCTCATACGTTCTATCTCTTTGACGGAGTAGTTATATTTCCTCATTGCTGCTTTACATTTAGAACATTGCGGGTTCATTTTTGCGTTATATTCTGAAATAAAACCAGCTAAAACAACTAAAGCGTCAATTGCTCTCTTCATCTCAAACATAGCGGGTCTTATTTGTTTGTTCATACTTTGCCTCTTCTATCTTTATCTCTTATCTGCCATACACATTCAGCAACTAACGAAACAAAGTTGTCGTAGGTCTTAAATTCTTCAGATTTATATATGTCAGAAACATTCTTATATACCATGTCGCAATCTTTGTCCATAACCTTATGGTTGCAATGAAATCCTAGAAACTCATAGTTTACCTTTCGTATGAACTTCTTTATTTCTACTGAGTCAGTTGCTTTGACTTCAATTTCATCGAATTCAGGAATAGTGAGTTTTTGTTGTTGGATTTCAGGTAGTTTGGGTAAATGGTCGATGAGGTCCTCCATTTCATAAAGATACTGTTCATTTGTTTCATCTTTCGCACTACAGTCTAAATTACATGTTAAAAGTTCTTGCTTTATCTTCTGGATTTCTGTTTCAAAAGTATATGAAGAAGGAATGAAGCTTTTCATCTCTACTAACATTGACGTAGGATTCATGACTAAAGAGTTTGGTGCTGTTGTTTGAATTGTTGTTGTGCCGATTGTTGAAATCATATCTTTTATACAAAATAAAAAAAATAAAAAAAATAAAACTAACTTTATTTTTTATTTCGGGAAAATTCATGAAAATTCAAGAGGTGAAAAAAGAGGTGAAAAAACAGGTGAGATCTCACATTCTAACATAAACTTTATTTTTGGTGTAAATTTCATGATTTTCGAGAGTTTTAGACCATGTTAGAAAACAGGTGAGAAAACAGGTGAGATCTAACATTCTAACATAAACTTTATTTTTGCTGAATTCAGCAACAAAATGAACGAGGTCAGGATGTATGTAAATACCTTTGAATTCATTCATAACACCCTTAGTAAGCTCATAAAATGCTTGTTTTGAGGTCGAGCCACTTTTGGCTCCACCGTATTCTTTCAACCAAAACTCAAGAATTTCCTGCATGAATTTTGTATAAAAAGCAACCGTCGGAATTCAGACTGTTGCTATATTCTTCACAAAACATTTACGCTCATTACGATGAAGAAGTCTTGACAAAACATGTACGATGAAGTCATGACAAAACATATACGAAGAAGTCTTGACAAAACATTTACGATGAAATCATGACAAAACATTTACGCTCATTACGATGAAGAAGTCTTGACAAAAACATGTACGATGAAGTCATGACAAAACATATACGAAGAAGTCTTGACAAAACATTTACGATGAAATCATGAAAACATTTACGCTCATTACGATGAAGAAGTCATGAAAATTCAAGAGGTTAGAAAACGTGTTAGAAAACGTGTTAGATCTAACCATCTACCCGACATTCTCGTCAAATACAAAAAAATGAAAAAATGACACTTTTTCATTAGATAACTGTTATTTTTTGACGAAGTGAAGATTGACACTTCGTCAAAAAAATCCCTGAAATCATATCTTTTATACAAAAAAATACAAAAAATGACACTTTTTCATTAGATAACTGTTATTTTTTGATGAAGTGAAGATTGACACTTCGTCAAAAAAATCCCTGAAATCATATCTTTTATACAAAAAAATACAAAAAATGACACTTTTTCATTAGATAACTGTTATTTTTTGACGAAGTGAAGATTGACACTTCGTCAAAAAAATCCCTGAAATCATATCTTTTATACAAAAAAATACAAAATAAAACTAACTTTATTTTTTCTATCTTAAGGAAATTCATGAAAATTCATGAGGTTAGAAAACAGGTGAGAAAACAGGTTAGATCTAACCATCTACCCTAAATTATATTTTTGGGTCCTTTACACTCATTACGATGAAGTCTTGACAAAACATTTACGAAGAAGTCTTGACAAAACATTTACGAAGAAGTCATGAAAATTCAAGAGGTTAGAAAACGTGTTAGAAAACATGTTAGATCTAACATGTTAACATAAATTATATTTTTGGTTCGGGAACAACTTTCTCTCAATTGGAGCTGTGGCATACTCTTTGCGTAAACGGTTCAGACCTTCTTCGAACTCTTGGTCTCTCTTCGATTTGGATTGAGATTGGAATTGCTGGGGTGGAGCTTGCTGGAACATCCATGGGTTGGGGAAGTAAGGCATAGGCTGAGGAGGGTAGTTCGGGAAGCCTTGTGGTGGGTAGTAACCTTGAGGTGGAAATTGGTAGAAATTCGGAGGTACTTGCTGGAACTGAGGTTGCTGAGGAGACTGTTGTGGTTCTTTAGGTTCCTCTGGTTTGGGAATGGACTGGGTTGGTGGGACGTGGGACATTCGTTTGTGTCCTGTCGGAAGGAAGAACTTTTCCTGTCAGAAGGAAGAACTTTTCCTGTCGGAAGGAAATTTTTTTCCCTTTGTCCGGAAAATTTTTTCCTGTCGGATGGAAAATTTTTTCCTGTCGGAAGGAAAAACTTTTTCTGAAGTTCGACCAAAAAGTTCTCAATTTTCGAAAATTTGAATGGTTTACGGACGGACAACTGGAAGAGTTCTTCCTGTCGGAAGGAAAAATTTTTCCCTTTGTCCGGAAAATTTTTTCCAGTTGTCGGGAAAATATTTTCCTGTCGGATGGAAGGACTCGGAATGCAAGAAAGACTTGACGAGGCAATTTACCTAATTGAACTTAACGACTGCGTAAAAGACTACTTGCGCAAGGTCATGAAGCCCAAGGTCAAGTTCACCACTATTTCTGGAAGGGCTGCCTTGAATCTCGAGACTTCGACTGGAATTCCAATTCAAATACCAGAAAACACTCCTTTCGACGACATAAAGCAAGCAAAGAAAGAAGCTCTTGTTAAGTTCCTAAACAAACGTCCTTGGATAAAAATACCAAACAAGGAGAACCCCCTACCCCATATGAAATTGGCAATTCAGTCTCTCCTTCGCTTCTCGGGTCAACCATTCTACATAACCTGTGAAGGCGACATCCAACCAGTTCAGTAAACCTTAACGTTTAACTGCACTTTTTTATGTTTTTTTGTAAAGTGTCAAAAATAAATTGTTTTCATGAGTTTTCTACGATGTTTAGAAAAAATGTTATTTTCTAATATCTTCACATTCAATACTTTTTCAGCACTTTTCCGTAGTTATATATGAAAGACAATTCGAGATAAAAGTCATAGTAACAATGGAATAATATGTTGCACACCATTTGTTGTGAACCAAACTTGAAAGTCAGAGAAACTGTTACTAGGTGGTTCGTAGAATTTAGAAGCAAAGTCATAAAAGTCCTTACCAATACATAGAAAACTATTGCTGCTTGAACTGAAACTTGCATGACACATAACATTTTGAGGGTCAAACACGTTTCTATAAACTGTCAAATCTGCTGGTGGAAGTATAAATTGAAATGGACCATCTGGTGGTAATGGTTCGTTCTGGTTTAGTAACCGAAGAAATTTGTGCCCAAGAACGTTTGTCTACTTTCCAAAATAAAAACTCTGTATCTCTTGGAGGGTTAATTTCAAATCTTTTTGAAATGAAACGGTGGAGTTCATCTTGTCATATTCTAGTTTCAGATAGTATGTTCCATTTAGTAAAGAGTCGTATTTTTTCTTGAAATTCCAATAATATTTGTTCATTTGAGTTTGAAAGTCATTTAGAGTTTTCTCAAGACTTTCGTCTGAACGAACTGTAAAGATTCTCATTTCGTCAAAATTTGTCTATTAGACCATCAGAACCTTTATACTGCCATGAAAATATACTGCGAACATAAATGCGTTAGTTCTATTTGAAAACAAAACTCTTCTAAATCCTATTGCTTTGCATCTGAAGGACTTTGAAGCCAACGAATTGGATAGTCAAACCTGTATACTCGGGATGAAATTTCTTCATCTGAAATAGTCCTACCAGCATTTGTAAAGATATAGTCTAACGGTTTTGTATCTGCTACTTTTGTTCTTTGTTTTTCAACTGAAGCATTAATATATGTAAAATATATTGTTTTAAAATGGTATGCCATTTCATATTTCTCATCTAACAACAAGTTTCCCAACGGTCTTCTCCAACAAACTCAGCGTACATTTCAAATAAAATTAAAAAATGTCACTTTTTTAAAAATAAATTTTTACTTCATGCAATGTTCACTAACATCGAAAGGCATGTCCATAAGACGTTCTTCTTCTAACCTCTCTAGTCTGTTTGGATAATTGGCACGTGCTGTTTCCAAATCCATTTCGTAGGTCAGACCAGCCAGTTTGTCATAGACTTTTTATGGGTCTTCCCTTCCTATATTTAAATTCTTCGAAACTCTCCAACCATATCTTTTGCAACTCTGCTTTTATTCTAGCAGATTTTCTATCCATTCTATATGGGGGCATTTTTATAAAAATAAAAAAATATTTTTTTCTTTACTTTACATAACCGCCTGCTGCATAAGTCTTTGACGCCAACCCATACAGCTAATGAAGGTTGACTTGGTTTAGTTTCCAAACTAAACTTTGGTTTTGGTTTATCTTCAGTTTTTGGTTTTTCTTCTTCTATCGGTTTTTCGTCACTTTTCGGTTTCTCTGACTTTACTTCACTTGGCAGGAACAGTTGTGTCGTCAACATCTTCATAAATATCATATGCCATTTGTTTTTGTTTTCCTTTCAACTTTTTGTGTTTGTTGTAAAGTTTAGAATATTTCGACTCTAAGTCAATGAGATGTTCTATAATGAACTGTTGGTCGTGAAAGTAAACTTTTCCATCTGTTGTCTCGAAAGCTCTTCAGACTTCAATATTTTATTTGTGAAGTCTGTTTCTTTTTGAGATACTTGCCGTTCCATTTTTATGAAAAGTGACTTTGTAGTTAGGGTTTGTATTTCCAGACCTGGCACTTTCTATTATTGAATTTTTCTCTTCATCTGTAAGTTCTTTGACAGGTTTTGACAATGGTTCTGAACTTTTTGTTTGTGGTGTCAAATCTACCGTTTCAACTTCTTCGGTCATTTCATCTCAGTAAAAAATTTTAGTTTGGTTTGTTTTCAACTGGTTGTTGTTGTTTTTTTAAGTCGTCTAAAACTTCCTGAGGTATAGGAAGAACTTGACAAACACGTTGTGTAACTGCTGGAAGCCGACAAATCATCTTGAACCCATTTGTCTCAATGCTGTATTGTTCATTTCATATCAGTAAAAACTTTACATTCCCCACGTTTGAGGCGGTTGAGGTTGGTTATTGTTTACCCATTGTTGTGGCATGGTTATATCTCCGTTAAAGAATCTTTCACCTTGGTCCATATAGTGTCCTGCTTGGTTATAGTAGTCATTTGCTTTGTTATAATAGTTTCCCTGCTTGTCTTCCTACATTGTCCATCCATCCTTGAACTTTTCCTCTTGTTTCAGGATTTGGAATAAGATTTGTTGCATCTCGTGCTACATCCCAACCTTTCTGTACAGTTTGTATAATAGGTTGTGCTTTCTCTTTAAGTATACCTAATGTACTCAAATCTTCCTTCCAACTCCAAATACACCTCTGGCTATTGTTCCACTGCGGGCAAAAATCTGGATGCAACTCCTGCTAATGCGCCAAATAAACCATTCTTATAGGATAAAAAATGACGAATCCAAACAAGGACCCTATGTTTCTAAAGCGACAAAGAAAGCACTCATGGTAAAAATCTTTAGTTCAACACCAAATGCTTGGTTTATGGATATCTTGGAAAACATTCCGAGAGTTAGAACAGATGGACCACCATACTGGTTAATATTTGTTGGTCAAAACACAAGATACTGTGAAGCCATACCATTATGGTCCAAAAATATTTTAGATGTGAAAACTGCTTTGACAATAATTCGTTGACAAATACCATCCAACAAAACTGACATCTGACTGTGAAAGTTCTTTCAAATCAGATGATGTAAAAACTATCTGCGTTCAAAAAATGTAAACCAATATTTCATTGTCGACCAAAACCATTCTGCTCTTGGTGTCATTGACGGTTGTAATAAAAATGTTAAGAGACTTAAACAACCACAAGGTGGTGAAGCAAATGAAATGTCATATGAACGACAAATATAGACACTTCTCCATGGCAAAGATGAGACAAGTTTTAAATATTTACAATAGCCGTAAACAAAAGGTTTGGGAAACCACTCCCCCGAAGAATATGAAAACAACCTGACTTAGAGAAAGACTATATATTTAATAATTTAGTCAAAAGAGACAAACAAGAAAGAATGCCGGGCTTCAAACTTCAGAAAGGTGACAAAGTAAAAATAGAAATACCTAAACGCGACCCATATGAAAATATTGACTATGACAACAATGGGACCCGACAGGTACTCACATTCGTGTTCGTAAAATAGAAGAAAGTATACAAGAGAATATTATGAAGTTTTAGGCAAACATGGCAAATGTACACACTGCAAGCAGAAGATAAAACGACTATTGTCAGACCTCGTTTCAAACTTGTCAAAGTTCAAGGTGGTATACTTTCAAAGACAGTTCCTAACAATATAAGACAACTCCTGACGAATATGCTAAAGAAGTTGAAAATGACGACTAAGCATTTCTATAACATGCGTAAACTGTCATGTAAGGTGGCATGTATTCTTTACTTTGTCCCGTTGTTTGCGTATATCCTGTAACGTGATGTGTATGGATTCCTCCTCCATCAGTGTTATTCCAGTAACAATTTATAGCAAACTTAACGTCTCTTTAACATCATATCCTTTACCTTTTGTCATTCCTGACCAATCCCAATATCTATGCTTATGCCACCTGCTTGAGATGTACTTAAATCTATGTAGTGACTGTGTGCAGGTAAATTTGCACCTGAAATCGTTTTTACTTCCACCTGTTTCCTTTGAAGAGTTTGCACAATACAAAAACCTGTCGACTATTTGTTCCCATGCACCAACACCAAACATTACTTGAGGACCTCTTGCTTCCATAGATGTATAAAATAGAACCTACTGGGTTCATTAAATCAAACATATGAGACATTATAGGATTGTCTCTTTTGAACTTAAAATATAGTGCAAACTATTTCAGGTTTCTTCTGGTTTGTGTAAGAATATTTTTTATAATATACTTATGTTTTCAGGGTAGGTAAAATCTTGACTATAATATTTATTTCTGTCATCTATATAATAATATACTATTCTCGTTTTTTCTATTGCATTATATCTTTTATATCTATAATAATCTAAATATAATGTTTGCTTTTGTTCATCTGCATGTAGTATTCCTTCGTCATCTACATAGTCATAATAATATGGTGCTGGAGCTGGGTCAGGCAATGTCATATCTGCCATTTCATAAACTCGGAAATATTTCTTTTGTTCGTCCTCCATA